GAATAAAAAACTATTATTGATTCTCGTAGTTAATTCAAATAGGTAAATTACTTTTTTTTTCTAAAATCGAACGATGTTTTCGATATTAGAAATCTACGTATACAAAAAATATGTAATCTTTAAATAAAATTTGTTTTATTAATATGTTTTAATTCAATTCGTAAGGATACCTGATGAATATGGCTCAAAATGGGACCCTGTGGAGCCCCTTTATTAATATTTAAAGAAATCCCAAAAATAAAACAGACATTACTGCTTTTTTCGAGATAAAAAGTTCTTTGTTGTCTACATTTCCACATCAAAATTGCTCGAATTGACATATTATTAGAAATATTATTACGATGACATTTTGATTGCTAGTGAACTACACTGCATAGTACCTACTATTAAAAAAAAAATCTGATGTAAACAGATACCACTTCCGATCAACAACAGTGCGGAGGTAAGCGAATTCCTCGTGTATCTCAAATGAAATCGCAGCCGCATCGCACTCGATGAATCAGCGGTACGGATACATTCGAAAACACGTCACTTTCAGACCAACACATGACCTGCACCACACTTCCATCGGCAAAGTCGCCTACCCCGCAGCTAGGTGTTATCACCTCGCGGGCAGACCCGGAGGGAGACAGTGATAATCCATGGCGCGCACCCCCGTGTTAGGGGTGGTGGGGTTCGTTATATACACCACGGCACATGGCTCTGCTTCAGTCTAGTTGTTTGGTGTGCGGTGTGAGTGAGTGAGCTTAGTGGAGGGATCAGGTGTCTAACGTGCGCGCGGCAACCATGCGCGTCTTCGCACAGGTAGGACGCCAACTTTGATTTTTTACATTGCCTTTAGTGACAATTGAAAGGATGCCGTGCTGTGGCCACCTCGATATTGTCTGATGGTTTATCTTGAAAACCTAGGTGAAAATATTCGGAAGATCGGTAAAAATAATCATAGAGTAAGATTGATTGCAAATCTCATTGTATACTCTTCACCGAATGGTTCAGATTTATGTCTTTTTTAATGATGGGCAAAGGATAGGCAAATTATTTGTATCACATCAGTAAAAATAATCATACTATTTAATTGTGGAGTAAAGGTGTTTGTAAATATGTCTGCATTTTCCCAATAATGAAGAATTTTCAGGTTTGTTTCGAAGTGTAACCATATTTTATGATACCTTAATTTGATATTTAAAATATCAAAGTAATCCCCACACATTTTTTATGAAACTTTAAAATACATCATTTTTTTAGACCTAGTTCTTTCAAGAATGAAGTTTAGGAAGATATTTTCCAATTCATAAAAATAAATACACATTGATTAAATTTATAAGGTATGTTATAACTTTTTACACATGATTTACTGAATAGGTACTTCTACTATTATACATTCCTATAGAAAGTTAGATGTTTATACACCTGTTGAAATTTCTTATGTCGAATTCAATTGTTCTTACTGAAAGTAAATTAGATATTTGATCACATCTTTATTTTAGGTACAAAAATAAAGAATAAATAAATATTCATTAAGTTATTTTATTATTTCTTAGCATATTTTAGAATTGTTTGTTTTATACACTGATAACTACATTCTGCTGAATTCAGCGCATCTAAAATTTCTGGTTTCATAGTACCTACATTACTCACCGTGGAATGTCATTGCCTTATTCCATATTATTTAATAAAGACAACTTCAGCAAATAGCATGTCTTTTCCATAAAAGAGCCTTCAGGAATTAAATAACAGTCGAACGTAAACAAACAAGAAAGAACGCAGGGGAAGGTCATATTTTTTACAAGTACTATTGGGACCTGACTCTTGTTACTTTATTTTTGTAACGCTCGTGGTAATAATCGTTTGTTGACAGTTCAGTGATCCTGTTGTTGTTTGCGAAATAATTTACACAAATTGCAGCTAATTGCATTTAAACAACATAATTAATGCCGGTTCAGGTTTGCCGATGATTGAAGCTATCGAGAGTTATTAGTTGATGATACAATTATTTAATATACCTGAACGTACTAAAATTTGTCACTAATTAATGTTCAGCTGATAATAAAACTTAATTTCACTTGATAAATATTTCTGAAATAGTTTTTATCTATTATCTACTCAATCTAGTTATAACACTCAGTTAGAAATGAAAAAAACATGGACTCGCTTAAAACATCAACAGATTTCAAAGAAAACTTGGAGCCACTAGCGTCCATAAAATCCCACAGAATTTGCTTAGATCTTTTTTATGAAGTCAAATTTAGTACGTTACGTACTTGTTCCACATATTTTTCATCTTCTGACCAAAGTCCAAATCTGTTAAGGATTCCTTCCCATGTCATTATTTGGAAATAAAATATAATATCTCGGAATACTGTTGCTTGCAGACTAAAGTACCTATGTTGCACTTTGCTTTATTGTTTACTTAATCAACTATGCCATTTAAACAAAACTGTTTATTAACTGTTTATATCTTCGCTCACGTAGAGAGCAAGTGATCATTACATATTTACCAAACACTCAAGCAAACTGTACTGTTAACAGATGTAATGTAAACTAGTGGCTACACCCCGAATGTAAATATTATCTCATGTAAATGTTGATTATCTTTCACGACTCCTCGACTTCCTTGTGGCCATCGAGATGACAATAAATATTTTTTAGTAACTGCGAGGCGATAATGGAGACGCAAGGTAAAACGAAAGGCTTCTGGTTTGTTTGTTTGTCTTTCTTTGGTATTGATTTTTGCATAATGTTTGTGAGAATAATAAAACTTTTCTAAACAATTCTTGTAACATACGTACAGTCTTGCTGTATCTTTTTGAATATCGGTTCTATGAATTAATCAAATTCCATAAATATTCATTGTAATTTTTAATCAAAAATGATGAAGCTTCGGTTATTTAAAAATATTTTCCATTAAGCATATACTATTATCACAATTTATGTTCCCGTTTTAGCAAAAAATCATCCTTTTTAACGATTATCAAACTAATCTTAGCACACATTTGTCATTGTTTATTCAACACTACTCTAGTACTACTCAATCCATTTTAGATTTTTAAATGCATGAAGAATCTAAATTATAAATTTCCAAAGAATCGATGTTATTCTTCCAATATGTTTATATACGTATTTCTTATATTTACGTATTTGTATGTGTCTGCACGTTGCACATGTTCCTTTAAGAATGCAAAGATTGTTTTTGTACACAGAAAGTGATATCTTAGCTTCTAATGAAGCAGCGTTTGTTAACAGAAAACATTTTTGCAAGTCACTTAACGGTTCAATGTTCAGACGCGCTTACCATAACAGTGCGTGACGTTACGTGGTCCCAATTTTTATTGATCTTTTGGATTCAGCAAGATAAGATCATCTAAGATAGGTACTCTTCAGACACAGTAAAACGCCTTAAAATCTACAGTACTTTAACTGACAAGTCATGCTCTTAATATTTTGTTTAAATCTTGATTAGGTACAAATATTATGTCGATCTAGTTACCTAATCTTAATTTTCATTTTGGGTCACATTATTTATTTGTAGTATTTGACACAACAATAAGAACTTTGTCGAGAATGATACAAAAGCTTTGAATTCCAAGCCATTTGAAATCAGTATTCGAATCGAAATGTAATGTAAAATAAAGTCTGTCTTTGACAGTAAAAGTATAAGAGCATTGTATACTTTTCATTTCTTTTTTTTTATTTGAAACTTGGACCGTAATCAGTTTGTCAATTAAAGAAATTTTCTTAAGGGGTTCCCCAAACTAAATAAGAAATATTCGCGTCTATTTCACTATTTCAATTGATTCATCTTTTAAAAACTATTCTAGAACACTTTTTTGCTTTTATGCGATGAGGGTCCCCGAATATTTTCCATCGGTCAGTAACAGAACACAATTACCATATTATAACTTGATACTACTCGTATAATAAATATTACAAATATTTCATATAAATTAATACACTGATTATAAAACAATTAAAACAACCGAATTTCTATCAAGACCGCGCAAATATCTTACACTGGCTCTAATCTAGTCGTATGTCGAATCTCAAAGAGTAGACACGCGAGAGAGAAAAGCTTGTATATATACATATGTAAGACAAGGATAAACAATCATCTTCGAAGTTCTATGACAAGGGATAATCCACTGCTCAGAAATTTCCTTCGATCAACAAAATGATTTTTATTGTTTTATGTATTATTCAATAAATCAACAAAATTAAATAAAAAACAACCTAAATATTATACTTTTCCTTTGTAAAAATGTAACCATTGTATTTCTTACGTAAAACACGAAGTAAATCATAAAATTGCCACATCTTTTTCCATCTCTGCCACTACATCTTTTTAAGTAGGTACATCCTAAAGTGAAATAGGTTTAAAAATATTTTTTTCATTTTCACCTTATTTGCTTAAAGAAAATAAAAAATATCGTGAAAACAAAATGTTAATTTTTCAACTAATATGATTTTGAAGTTTTAGGTATACAAATAACGTTTGCAAACGAAAAATCGTCTAATTTGTGACAAACTTCCCAATGTGGCAATGATGATTTCCTCCAATGTCCTTCAATTGTCGTAGCGACCTCTAGCGGAGTACACGGAATCATTGAATTTTTAGAATTCCATCCGAAAAATATGTGCCATAATTTAATTTAACTCCAAATTTAAAAAAAATACAATTTTATTTAACTAATTCTGTCATCAAAAGTATTAAACATTGAAAATAACATTTCTTTCTTCTTTGCGGCTGAAGGAAACTATCCTGAACGAGAAGTGTTGAAGCTAGAGCTACGACAACATTGTTGTACACTTTTAGATGGCCTTTTCTTAGGTCATTCAACTCTCAATCATTTTTAGACGGACGTGCCTTCAGCGCGATGAGACTTTGCTTCTGAAATTGACGCACAATATTTCCAAAACAGTTATTACGAAGAAGACGCTCCATTTCGGTCCGTCCGAGATAGAAATCGATTGTTTCCAGCACACCGCTGATTCTCCGAGAGCGATCAAAGCAGGCCGGCGGCGGCCCATCCGGCGGTCCCGAGGAGCCGCGCGGCGCGCCGACCAACGCACCCGTCGATCCTCCGTAATTGAGAGTTCGCGGAGAAGCACCTCGTTACTCGCGCCCTCCTCGCGCTCCGCCGGCAGGCCAGAGGCGCGCCGTTTGATCTCGCAATTAGCGCGACACGTTCGCCGTGGCCCTCATTACCGCCGGTACAAAGTAAGGCCGCCCTCTCCTCCGAAGCTCTAATATTGCGCTGCGGCTCGGCCGGTACTTCCGTTTCAGCGGCGTCTTCGGCCACTGCCGCTACGCTACCCCGACGATTCGCGATTTGCCACAGGGAAATTCTGACAGTTGTGTAATTCGGAAACTGCATTCACTAGAGTCCCTACTGTATTAAAATGACTCTAATGGGGAAATTCACAATTTTATTATCTTATAATTGATTATCACTATGTTTTTGTTATCTCGAAAAAAAATCAAATCAAAGACTGAAAAATTGACGGTTTTGGCGGTCTCGAGAATTTTTCGAAACATTGACGAAAATTGTACTCTAGTTTTCATGGAGGGTAGTTTAGACCTTGTCGGACATGGGTTTCTACTTTGCCGGAATTGGCTCTGCGTGAGTGGTTGGAGACAGCTTCGTGATTCCCATTGGAAAGTTGAGCGAAAATCCACTCGGAACTTGGACTATTTCATATCGTGTGATGGAAACTGAAAGTTTTTTTAACCTCACATGATAGGTATGTTCCCCGGCTTTCGACAACTACGACCTTTAATGGTTTTGATTTTTGTACCTAACTGCAATGTAGGTATGTAAAATGTTTGAAAGAGTTGCAGACACCTCCATAATACAAAATACTATATAAATACAGTAACAGAAGGATGTAAAATACAAATCATATCGTGACAATAAGAAATATAACATATTTTCCCTGTTAATCGAACAGTATCAACGCCATCTCGTGGCAGCTTGTTTTCGCCAATCGACAATAGGCTAATAATCACGCTGTGCACTTTTGGCTTACAAGTGTTTTATCTGTAACTGGTGAAAATGCTCTTCAATTTCAGGTTCAATTACATATTAAAAACAAAACTAGTTCAAACTAACATACAGAAAGTATTTCCTTTAGAAATTTGTACTAATTGTAACAATGTATGTCACTGAATGGATATAGGCATTTCATTGCAAGTTAAAATGAATCATTGTTTATACTTTTAGTTAGTCACACTCTGCAATTTTATACAACTCTTATTTTTTTTATTACTTTTTTACGTTAGAGCCTAATGCGGTATACTGGTCAGCAAACGTTTGTTATTTTGTGCGCTTTTGTCATTAACATTTATTCCTTTTATTGTAATATTTATTTATTAAATCCCATTGCATCTTATCTCTTTAGAAGTGTTTTTTTAAAACATACTCTTTACAAATTGTTGCAGCGGCACCTTTCTGTTGGTATAAACACTACTAAATTTAATATTTGAAAAAAGTCAATGTCAAATTTAGAGTTGATAGACGAAATAATTTAATAGCAAAATATTTTAGAATTTAATATGACTGGTGTAATTCTTGTTGAAAACCTCGCATTCGTCGGAGAAATTTTCCGACTCGATTTTTTTGCATATTCAGATTCGTGAGATGTTCCTTAACATGAATCGACATAATGCCGGCCGGAAATCTGGTGCCCATTTGTTTAAACAAACTTTTTTTAAACAAATTGTAAAAATTGGTTTTTTCACTCCGGAATTTTTTTTTAGGTTTTTTGGCACATTATAAACTAAATAGTTCCTGTGCACTATGCCTCTAAAATTGATAGTTTTAAAGTTATAAACAACTTAAGTTGCTAAAAATGCGAAAATGGCGATTTTCAACGGCCGATTTCCGGGTTAAAAATTGTTATTTTTTATGTTACCAGGTACCTAAGTTAAAGTTTAAACATCCCCCTACAAGATGCTGAAGAGTTTTTGGGACTCGCATTATTCTAAAGCCTTGTTTTTTTAATTGTTAATAAAGCTCTATGAGCCGCGCGCGCGCCTCTCATACGCGGATTCGCTATTTCGTCTAGCGGCTTTAGCTTATGTTTTATGTCTGAATTAAGCAACGAAGAGTTTGATGCATTGCAAAGATTACTATACTTAAAAATATTAAATGAACAAGGCAAAGCAGCCGATGAAGCTAGAAAATTAATTTTCTCTCATTGTAGTGGTATGGGTATTAATTTAAATAAAAGACCATGCACTTCCGATGCATTGAAATTACACGTCTTAAGAGCTTCTTTACAAACGTACATATGGAAAAGTTCCATTTTTCCTCAATATCAATATTTGGTTATCAAAATGAAACAGGTGAATTATTACCTAAATTTATTACCAAAGATCCATTGCCCAAAGACTTAGTTAAACAATGTAAATGTACAAGAAACTGTAAGACTAAAGCTTGTTCTAGTATGAAAAACTATGTCACTTATGTACCTTTATGTGGTCGTAACATAGAACAGTGTGAGAATTCTTATGATTGATAATAATAATAATAATAATAATAATAATATACAGTATTAAATAAATGTTCTTTAATAAAAATCAAATGTATTCGATACTATTGCCCTTTTATTTTTTTTCTGCACTCTATTCGTACAATTTTGAATTAATGAAATAAAATTATTATGAATTATGAAAATTAAATAATCAATTTTTACATTATTTTATGAGTAGTAATAGTACTTAGAATTCTAAATTTAAAGAACGTAAGTTGAATCCTAGCGAATCCGTAAAGTAAAAATTTAATTTGCTTGGTCTATTTCCGAACTGTACCGTTACATGACGCGTAATAGTTCGGCGCGGTATCTCTATTAATATCTGTATTAATAGATTAATTTTAAAACATCGAAAAGGAGGACATGTGGGAGGGCACTTTTCGAGGAAGGACACCACAACTTACAAAAGAAAGACTGTCCTCCCTAAAGGAGGATGATTGGTCACGTTCTATTATGCTTTTGATTTACCATAATGATATATTTAGTCATATACATACATATATGTGTAGGGTGCCACAATAGTGCGATAAAGTTTAGTAACTGCCTGTAGTAGTGATACGAAAAAAGTTATGTCACAGATTTTTAAAGGAACATTATTATTAATCTTGCGTTGGGTCCCCAGGGTGTGTTTATAAAACATTCTCGGTTACATAAACATTGAATGTCTCGATGCCGATTCGATTTTGCTAAATAAGTTAGTTGTTACTGAGGTTCGCCATTAGACTGTTCACACTAAGTGATTAATAAAAGTTGGAAATTAAATTCCTAAACGTTTATTTAGGCCCAAAGACCAGTTATCCTGATAGTTATTTGCTCAGATTCACATTTTATTATTATTTCCATTATTCATTACTAGCGGCCCGTCCCGGCTTCGCACGGGTGGACATTTATTTTAAGCATTTTGGGATATAAAAA